GCTAATGTATTCGTCATTTAATGTAAGATCGATGTCACTTTACTAATCGTTGGGTACAAACCGTCACTCGAATTCTTCCAAGATACTAAATGAACCTTTTAAAAGAAGATTAAAATGATTTTCATTTATATTTTATTATCGTTTTAACAACAGAACAGATATTTATCTCTCGATGTTTCACCTAACTCCTATAACACATTAATAATATGCCCAAAGTTAATAAATTAATTACAAAACGTGTCTAAAGATTTATTTATGATCGATCGTATATAAATGTAGAAAACAAAGGAAAGCTTCGCTAACAAATTGATTCTACAAATGCGCTTGCAACGAATATTATAATCTAAGTTGAAGTAGGTGAGAACTTTAGATATAAAATGTCGACGCTTTGATCGATCTCATTGCGAACTCAAATACATCGCTAGATGGAGAGCTACGAGAAGCTCAGATATAGACACTGGCCCGTTCTTTGCACATGTATTATTCCAAACCACCTGAAAGCTTTTCGTTGTACAAAAGTGTACAAAAATCTCGAAAGCTTTCGTACAAATCGTAAGTCACTGTCCGGCTTCCATCTCGACGATAGACTTAACAAACGTGGTTTATCCATTGAAGGATTACTATTCGGTACTGAGGTGAATTGTGGATTTAAGTAGGTAGCTTTGAAGTAAGAAGGAAAAGCAAGGTAAATAACCCAAGAGCATTTCGAAATATAATCGGAAAAGTCTATCTTCGATGAGTTCCTATCAGAGAACGCAAAGGCACACGCAAAGGCACACGCAAAGGCACACGTAAAGACAAATCTTAAAGTAGAGATCAATGGGCGGAAATGGAGAGGTAAAAGGGGATAGGCTCGCAATTACGCCATGATGGAGATGTAAGACACGAAGATGTAATTATTAGAAAGTCGTTCCAATCCACCGAATAGATACATTGTGAGAAAAATCAGGTTGACGTTTTCCCAGTGATATCGATCGTCCCTCTGAATTAAAAGGAATGTTGATAGATACATTTCCCTAAAGCGTTTTATAAACTTCTCTTTTATAATATTATAATGAAATTAATATCCTATTGATCGGAAATATCGTTAAAAAAAAAATCTCGATCGATAGAAATCGTAAGTATCATACGTATTACGTAGTATGGAACGTAATGTTAATGTAAACGTATTTTTATGGAAAGTAATGCTTCGTTAATTTGTCCCATATAGATTTTCAGCGCATTTTGTAGAAATTACAGGAAGCGGTCATTTGACTATTTTGTGGTGGTAAAGTCATTCCCTCGACGTTAACCCGCAACCGATTCAATTTCTATCTCATACTAATCTTTTAGACTACGACGACGACGACGACGACGACGACGACGACGACGACGACAGCCCACGGTACAGGACGAAAGGGAAAGCAATTTGTAGTTATCGTTCGATCGATTGATCTTACGTCGATTCGAATCACAAACGATATAATGTGCTCGATGATATTACGGCTTGAAAATCTACCGTTAGGTCGGTAAACTGCCATTCAATTACCGATTTGGTAGAACATTGTTCGGAGATATCAAACGTAGACAGAGCAGCTGGACGGCTGTGAAACCGAGCGATCGAACATTACGCATCCGTTAACACGAGACTCCGAGTATGAAGCAGGCTTAATATCTGATTTATGCCTCCGTTAAGCTTCCGGTGCGTACATCGTAGATACACAGACACGTATCCCGTCTGTTGGAGTAAACGCTATGCTTTACTACGTCTGGTAGAGTCGACCAGACGTATAGTAGTTGACGACGATGTAGTTGTTACGAAAGTTTTCTCTATGGATCTTGGATAAATCCTTCGAATCGATAGTATCAGACAAGCAGGAAATCATTATAACACACTTATGAATTTATTCGCAAACTAAAAAATACCAATGCCAATTAATCATTCTTTTTTCAATTGCTATACAAAAAAAAATGATATATTCTAAAATAATAAAAATAAAAAATGTTGAAAATACTATATTGATAAGGAACTATGGATAGAGTCGAACGTATAGAGCGTCTACACGTTCATGTGAACACATTCTCTTGAGAAAGAAAGGTCACGTCGAGAATCTTCTCAAACGTGCAAGACATCGTGACGGATGCCCGAAGTAGGAAAGTTCCTTTAAACTAAGCTCTTTTCTTCGAGATGTTTGCACAGCTGCGACACGATGTGTCCTCCCCCTTCTTTTTCGTCGAAATAGCTATTTGTTGCCAGTACTAAATTTCAACAGTGTCAAGCTCTATTTATACGCTAAACATTTTCTCGGAATCGAGTTGAGTATAAAACGTTCGTTGGTGTGTGTATACATGCTCGCTAAGATTTAGTCATTTTTAACAAGGAAAATAAAATACATCCAAATTGGAATGAACGTGAAATAATTTCATCGAACGTACAAAATCGCACAATAATAACGATCAAACGTGTAGGCCTCGCATCGGTATGCTGTGTGCGTGCGAGTAAGTATGCTAGATAAAACAGAACAATGCTTGTTGCTTGGATGCGTCCATATATTTCTTGGTAATAAATCGGTTGTGGTTCGGCAAATCGAAGGGTCTAACCGATATCTTTGTTGCCGAGGCGATTTTTTACAGGAATTCATTGTAAAACGCAAAGAATTAAAGACGTATTTTACCAGCCGTCATGTAAAGGTACATGAAGCCCCCCCGGGGGGTCGTCATACCGTTAAAATGAAAAATCGAATGGGGAAAGAAAAAGAATTCGTAGGCATGATCGTTTACGTGACCGTCTACAATCCGATGTCGCACTGATTAACTACGTGACGTGTGTTTAATGTTGCGATCACGCGCCTAATTAGGCCACAGTAACGGCTGCAGCCCTCGCTCAACCCTTCATCCTTGCTTCGTGCATTCGAGTCAGATTGCATCTTCGTATAGGTATATGAAACATTGTATTGCGAAAGTCGAGAAGCGAATGCAAATTCTCGCCTACAGAAGCCCGAGTCGACGAATGAGCTATAAGATGAAAGCAATTATATGACTTGCATGAGAGCATACGGCTTTTCCTACACGGAACGAATATAGAATTTCAGCCATGATTCAGCAAGCTAAATGGTACTTTAAAATCAGACTCCTAGGAAATACAATTCGCTATGATTATCTAACAAATAATTAATATTACGGAAGAGGAATATTACATTAAACTACGGAACAGTTAACTTGAGATCATATTCTAAATTCACTGATCGAACAGTAGACACACATATATCATGTAGATTTAAAGAAAAGAAAATGTAATTTTTTCATTTCGTTATTTATCTTTTGTATCTTTACATCAAACCTGCTCGTAATAACACTAACATTTATAATTAACCGAGCAATTTCCCTCGAATTTTCCCCTATATGGAAAGAAAAAATAATAATAATTGTATCCAGTGAACCGTTAAAAATGCAAATTACTTTGTTCTGTAAATCGAGCGATAAAATCCGAATGCAATTAACAATTAAATCTTCAACGATGTTGTCGCTATAGAAAAGCGTGTGGTTTGAGAAGCATACGGTAAAATGCATCATTCAAAAAACCGGACGTACGTGGCGACGGCGATGCCATTCCAACACTGACGAGACATCGCGACGCCCAACACAGCGCTTGCGTTCTACGCTTGTTTTTCAAACTTACAAACCTTCGAGTATTCCTTTTATCTTTCATACTTCATTTTTATATGCATAGGTGTATTATATATAAATGCGTTGCATGGTAAGGTAAACGTTATTCAAGCCCCCATCAGTTAAGACTCTTGAAAGGTTTGCCAATTTCAATCATTTCTTTCCTACCTTCGTCGTCTATGTTTCACAGGAAATTACCAAAGTTGGATAACTTCTGATCGAATATAATTTCTTTAATGAATATTCCTTGAGCGTGATAAAGCGATTTATTAGCTCGCCTCGAGCTTCGAGATAGCTTTCGCTTTCTTTCTCAAGTTTCACCTAAGACGATTCAACGTTCGATGTGATTTCACCGTGACGTACTTAATGAGCCGCACGTGTTTACCGTGAAAATACAAATAATAATAAGTCGATGCTTCTTGCGGTCTTTCTTGCGGTCCTTCTTATTTTGTGATGGCAGTTATGATAAATTGCAACATAGAATTACAACATTAAATATGACGAAAGCTGTTTAATAATACACCTTCACATATATTTTCTAAGGTTAATAACGAATGAAATTAGTTCGGGCCAAAATTTCCAAACTATTTAGAGTATATGCCAAAGTTTCTAATACCATGGCTGCTTGAACATTGTTAATCACGGTCATTATTACATAGCAAGAAGCAAAATAATCAAGAGGAATTTTCCTACGTCTTATTATTGCATCTCCTGTAAAAAGATCAACGAGACGATGACGACGACGACGACGACGAGGACGTCGACGACGACGACGAGGACGTCGACGACGAAGACGACGACGACGAGGAGGAGAGTAGCTGCATTGTGCGGATATAACGAGAACTTAATCTTATACCGTGCATCCCCAATATTCTCAACTACAGTCGTGGTGATAAGTTCAGGGGGCGGTACTCGGTAATTAAGCGAACGATGCGTCACAGACAAAAGCTGCTACCGCGAGCACGAAAGCCCCACTAGTTTATCACGGAATGGGAAGCAGATTCCGACCCTTTTCTTATCCAAGACGATAGATACCGTTTACAGTGAATATAGCCAATAGGAAAGGAGAGAAATTCAAGAGAAGGGTTTTGTTTCGCAAAGGAGCATTTGTCGATTAGAGAACCTCGACATTACGAAATTGCAACAACAAAAAAAACACCTATATAAAATAATTTACTTTATTTCGCAATTAATCTAAAATCTTTCGCGTATAAAAAATAAAGTGGGAGGGAGAGAAAGAGCGCATCTGTTGGTGGTATGTAAAAAAAATGGAAGAAGGAAAAAATAGAATTATATACAAGATGATAATCGTTGAAGTCTGGTCTCGACGGTCATGGTCGAGATGTGGATAATCGTCAATGATGCAATCCACCGAAATCGGAAATCTCCAAGCCGTGACCTCCGTAGCCACCTCCGTAGCCGTGGCCGCCGCCGCCGCCGCCGCCGCCGTAGCCGCCACCGTAGCCGCCACCGTAGCCACCACCGTCACCTCCTCCGTGGACGTATACTGGATAAGATTCTTTGACGACGACGGGAACCTTAACCGGATAAGGTACCTCCTTATGTACAGGGTAAGGTACCTTTACAGGTACGCTGACCGGGTATGGTACCTTGTACGGTACCTTTACGGGAACCTTGTACGGTACTGGTACCGGTTTCTCGACCGGCACCGGAATGTGCTTTTCCACGGGCACTGGGTAAGGCTTAGGCACGTGTACAGGGTAAGGACGATCGACCGGGACCTTGACTGGCACCGGCACTGGAACCGGTATATTCTTCTCGACCGGATATGGTGCTGGTACTGGGACTTGAACCTCTCTGTGGATCGTAATCGAACTGATACGTCCCCCGTCGCCACCTCCTAATCCACCACCACCGCCACCGCCACCGCCAAATCCGCCACCGCCAAATCCGCCCCCTCCGTAGCCCCCTCCGTAGCCCCCTCCGTAGCCACCACCGTATCCTCCTCCGTGGCCTCCTCCCAATCCGCCGCCAAAGTCGCCAAAGCCATGACCACCCAAACTCAATTCCAATCCTCTTTTGCTTTTCGCGTCCTTGCTATCGGTGGCCTCCTTCTTCGCCTGCTTCTTCGTCTCGGAAGCCAACGCCGCCGTGGCCACGAGGACGAGGAGCACGAGTGCCTGTTGACAAATCGTTCTCATGTTAAATATAATATCATTTCTATTTTTATCGTTAGAAATAATTTATAAAGAAAAATCAGAGAAACGCGACAAAATCGATACAACTTTTGAAAAACGTAATGGTTATTTGTAGATAATGACAAATAAACAATAAGTTTTATCATAAAAGAAATCCTGAAACGCTAAGAAGATTCTTAGCTTGGAAGCGAGCTCACCTGCGGAGTGCTCATGGTAGACTTCGGTAGTGCACACTGAAGTTAGATCGTCTCAATCAGCGGCATATATACCAGCAGCACTTTCGCCGTGGCTAGCGCGGACCCACTCCCCGGAAAAATATACGCGTCGGGCCCGGACCACCGTATTAAAGGTGGACCATAGAATGCTACGCTTCGTGACGCACGTGGACTAATCATCGCAAAATGGTCCGACCTTCTCGAAATTTGTTTTCCGCCAATACAATTTGTATTTTTCTCTCTTTCTTTTTTATTTTTCTGCGATCACTCCCCTTCTTTCCCTTTCTATCTGGCACCAAGAGAAAGAAGGCAATGCCTCGCGATTGCAATTTCGCCGCTCACTCGACACTCGTAAACGATACCGGACGTAATTCTGATCCAAGCGATCGACCGCTTGCGTAATCATCCTTCTCGATCGGAAGAAAGTTTCCGGGCACTGAAATGGTGAACGTTTCTGTATTCGCGTGAGCTAGATCCCGTAGCCGCGCCTTTCTTCTCGTTAATATATATGTGCGTGTATACGTTCTAGGGCATGAAATCGAAGAGATGCGAATAGTTCAGGAAGGATTAGAAAATGCAAGCTGTCATGTCGTCTATGTAAATCAATTAAACGCGCTAACGTGTGACGCGCTTCCGTGTAAAGTTACAATTTCACAGGCTGCTTCAACGAATGATATCGTTCACGCACTTTGAGAGGGAGAGAGACAGATGGAATAGAACTAGTGCGAGAACCTTACTTTCGTTCTTTCGCCGATCGTACAACGTTACACTCGTGATCACGATTTCGACGTTTACTCGCGCCTCGTAAAATTAACCGGACGTAACTCTTGGCGATCGATGCTTTCGACCGGCTGCGTTATGTAATTCCCGTTCATTTCAAACCGGCGAAGAAAGTTTTTGGTAACGCATAATTTTAGAGAAAATTGTCAGCTCGTTATAAAGAACCCAACATCGTACGTATCGTTCTCGGTAGAAAGGAAGGTGGAAGAGTAATCGAGTAAGAGAAACGGAAATTGTCTTACGTTTCTCGTTTTTTTTTCTTTTCCTTTCTTTTTTTACTTTTGTAGGTTTCGAGTATCCTCTCTCGCTAATTAATTCGCTTATTTATGACACGACACCTTTCGATGATTACGATCGTAAATACAATTAAACGAGGCGAATTTTGATGTCGATGTTAGTGTGAGAACGGATGATAATAATGGTAGTGGGACTAGAACGAACGAACGAACGAACGAACGAACGAACGAACGAACGAACGAACGTACGCAGCTTTCTCTCTTCGTCTTCCTCGCTTAGTGGACACGAACGCGTGCTAGGTAATTGAGAGATTCCCGGCATCATGCTCGGGGCTCGGTTAATTACCAGATAGATGCACCAGGGGAAGTCGTCGTTGCGCGTTAATCCGACAAGCGTCGATATTGCGTCGTGATTGCGTTGCAAACAACTCGTGGAAATCATCTTTTGATGCTTTTTCCCACTCCTTCTCTCTTTCTCTCTTTCCTTTATTTTGTTCTTTTTCATCTCCCTCCCATGCGTTCTAATCCAAATTAAAAACATCAAATGATCGAGTTAATGGCGTAATCTGCTGCTTGCCAATTACATTATTCGATACTTTCACGAAAGAAAATTTATCGACACTATGTAAAATGGTATGTCATCCACGAAAGGAAGCTTGCTTTTTACTCGAACCTTTAATAAATTCTGCGATAATTCATGGCGATAACGTCAAAGCCAGGCTTAGCACGTGTTTACTATCCGAGTTTGCCGAACAAGTTACCTTTTTTATTTATTTACATTTTATTTAATTTTTAATTTTTTCTTCTCTATTGCCAGATCCAGTTTCCTAATAATAATAATTGATAAAGTAGAAAAAAAAAGATGAAATATTAAACGTGACTCAATTTTATTGGCAATATTATTTTTGTAGCCAATAACTAATTTGTGAGTCGGATCGATACGGCTGAAACACGTCGGCATTGATTTCGATGTGGCTTTAGTCGCGGGCAATTAAAAAATTATATTTCATTTAGCTGCAAATAACACATTTATTTAATCCGCGAAAAAAAAAGTATTGAGCAAGCAATCGATAGGATTTACCTTTCTGTCTAATTAAACTGGCGAAACTTTTTCATAACTCCGATAGATCGATGGCAGTCATAAAATTCTCAACAAATAAGAAACGTAGGAAAAACGATATTATTCGTTAAGCGCTCAAATCGTTAATCAAATATCGCTAGATTCCTTTATCGACTATTAACTAGGAATCGTTGTCGATGGTAACGAAATACACGCTCCGTAAAAAATCATGTCTACACCCTTTGTTAACGCTGTCGTTTATCGATCGACTCAAATCGTTTCTTTCGTACCACAAGGAAAACTCGAGGATCAAGGGTACTAGGAACAAAAATCTAGGACCTAGGGATAGATACTTTAAGGCACAAATTACGTTTGCGCTGAAGCGACGGAGAGGTGTTGATAAAGGAGGGTGAGAACGGCTTAGGGTGGTATCCAAAGGAAAAGGGCGTAACTAGAAAACGGCTTGATAAACAACACCTTGAGCGAAAACATCCATCCATATATTCATGAGAGTCGTGGCCTGGACGGTTCCAAAGCCTTTCCCATTATTGCATAAGGGGTTACGTTTGTGGTCGCTGAAGTAGAAATTTAGACTTTCGGCGAAAATTCTCGGTGATCTTGTGGCCCGATTTCTTGGATCACACTCGTCGCATTCGCTTTACCTATAGAAGCTGAATACTAGTTTTAACCTAACATAAAGACACATCCGGAAAAAATCGATTTGCCATAATATTATAGTTTTTACGGATTTTTTTACAAAAGCCACGCCTAAACTTGGCCATTACAATTTTGTAAATATCGCTTGGTTATTAGGAAGTACACGATCGATCATTAAACATAATAGGATTACATTACATACAGCTACCGATATAGGTGGGGTATGTAAAAGCCGATTCCCAACTTCTCATCGGCGAAGTTCCGTATACGTAATATTACAAAGTCGCGTTATCTCGACAAATAATCGCCGACACAAAAGCAAAGTAAAATAACAGTTTCTCCTTTATGTGTGTATGTGTATGCTCGACTAAGAATTCCAAAGAAAACGACCGCGACCGCTTCCTGATGCCGTTCCTTAATGCAGGAAGACTTTCGAATCAATAGCTCGGTGATTAAAATCTGTCTAATGTCTCGGGCGTAATCGGAAATGTAACGATACCGGAGAGGACCGTAGGAAAAGTACGCCATAAAAACTAACAGATAGTTTTTCAACAGTTACCTAAACCAATGATAATAGCTTAGATTCAAATACCCATGAGTTAATACCTTACGTTAGGTAAAATAATCGATGATTAATCGACATCGAATCCATGTACCTCCGTGTTTCCCGCTTGAAAACCCGTTCCTAGCCAATTTCTCGCTAGAAACCGCGATGTTGCGCCAAGCTAAAACTATACTTACACGCAAACGTATTGGCCATCGTAATCGCGTCCTGCTATTAGATACGAATTCGACAAATGCACTCTGCCGTGTAATTTCTTACAATTAAATGTCATAGAAGAAGAAGAAGAAAAAGATACTAAAGAAAAAATTGATCTTATTTAATACCATATACAATCATATAGAATCGTCATCGATGTGACACAATCCACAACCCACTGAGAATACCTTAGGAACGAGCACGCGCCTCTCCCTTATTCCGGGCTTCCTCGTAAATTCGTTGAAAACGATTTAACGTTCTCCTTCCATGAGCCGAACAGAAACTATCGGGAATCCAAGAATCCTTCTCTCCTTCTCTCTCTACGTTTTCACTATCGGAAAGCGGTACGTGACTGAAACGGCGCAGCACACCGACTCTCCAATCAATATATATATATATTTTCAAATTCCAATTCAGATATATGGAAATTTATTCTCACCGATAAGCTTGATAAAGCACGGATATGCGAGATATTCCAGGTTACCTCCGAACAATCGAAATTGGGAATAGGAAGCCATACCGAGATTAGAAAAAAAGATTAAACAAGGACGGTCTATGTAGGATTCTTTATTTCTCTTTCGTTAGCTATGGTTAAAAAGCTTTCGGCGAAAAATCGCGTCCTCGTAGCTACCTCCTTTCGCCACACTCGTCTCAAATTGTATTACGCAAAAAGTAACGTGCGCGTGAGATTAAAGATGATGTACGATTTTGCTAAGCCGATAAAAATATAATGATTCTGCATAAGCGCGTTAAAGCGTCGTAAAGCGATGAGAGAAAACCTCGAGGATTTATGCAATAACGATTATCATACGACCGAAGAAGCGTGCAACGTAATTGACAGATCGCAACGATGATTAAGAGAACTATTTCAATTCCTAGAGCTGAAGACTATTATTTTACCTATCTTTGTTTTCCTCCAAATAAAAATCCAAATCAAAATAAAATTGAATTAGCTCGTAAGCAATGCGATTAAAACATTATGAAAGAAAAACTAAATAGCTTCTTTCGCAGCTTATACGAGCTAGTAATATTAATCAAGTTCCCCGTGGTGCTACCAAGAAACGAAACATCCCTTTGTTAAACGTAATCGGATTAAAAATGATATCTGATTATAGCCATAATTAGTTACTGTCTCCGTTGCTCCGTTATTAAGACTATAGTCAAAAGCTCCTTCAACTAAAATGAGGGAAAAATGGAAATAGAAATTTAGCAATTATGTCGAACGTTTTAGCATTGCGATTAATAATAAATAGCACTCTCTTCTATCGATAATATTCGTACGTCGGGAACTTGGGAAAAATGCATGTCACGTCTGCAGAAAGGTTTTCTATGTTCTCTATTCGACAGAATCGACAAGGGCCCCCCCCCCTTTTTCCTTTCTTTACCAGTTGAACGTTATGCGCAATAAGCTGCTTCTTCTTCTCTCGGATATGCTGGTTATATTTTTTCATTTCATTTTTTTACATGCTTTTTCTCATATAAACAATAATTAACAATTTAAAAGTAAAGAGAGATTCGTCTTACAACAACAACAAAAGCTTGAAAACCGAAACTCGAATATCTCGAAATTCGGATAAACGGATAAAAGAAGAAAAATAAAGCGGGAGGGAGAGAAAGAATTGAAAGTAGCAAAAGAAGATGAGATGAAGAAATTTTGAGAAAAGCGTTATCCGGCAAGTTGTTGTTCCTTCTTTCCTTCCATTAACTTCCTACTCGGCAATAATTTCATCGGCACGCTCGAGTTGCCCGTACGGACGGGCCGCTGCTAGTTGCGTCCCCCTATAAAAGCCAGAGTAGCCCATAGAGAAGCCAGTGTGCTCACTGACGACCAACATGTACAGCACCGAGAAGCTGAAAGTGAGTAGCGACTGCCGCCGCCTCTCGAATCACACCATTCGTGGGAGAGCCCTCCGCTCTCGGTTAAGGAGTTTATTTCAGACTCGGGAGAGATAAACGTGCCTTTTTTTTTTATTACGTTTACAAACAATAATAATAATGATTCAAATAATTTTCGAAACAGGTTCTCTGAAATTCTTTCTTTCTCTCTCTCTCTCTCTCTCTCTCTCTCTCTCTCTCTCTCTCTCTCTCTCTCTCTTTTACCTTAACCGGAAATTCTGTCGCGAAGTAACGAGCAAAAGAAAAAGAAATTAGAAAGTTAATGCGAAACGAATATTGATATTTTGCAGGTGCTACTCTTGTGCAGCAGCCTGGTTTTGATGGCCGTGGCCGAGGAAACAAAGAAAAGTGAGACTAACGTTGAAAAAAAGGATGAGAAAACGAAGCGTGGCCTCGAACTGAGCCTGGGAAGTCACAGTTTCGGGGGAGGTTTTGGAGGAGGTCATGGATTCGGCGGAGGTCATGGCTTCGGAGGAGGAGGCGGCTTTGGCGGCGGTGGTGGTGGTGGTGGCGGCTTCGGAGGAGGCGAACATATCTCGACCGAACATATTCCAGCGGTGACGATAACGAAACAAGTACATGTCCCGGCACCGTATCCAGTCGAGGTTGAAAAGCATGTACCTTATCCGGTAAAAGTACCGGTTAAGGTACCCATCGATCGACCAGTTCCCGTCCACGTGCCGGCACCTTACCCGGTGACCGTCGAGAAGCACGTACCCTATCCAGTGGATAAACCAGTACCTTATCCCGTCAAGGTACCAGTCAAGGTTCCCATCAAAGTGCCCTATCCAGTCAAGGTACCAGTCAAGGTTCCCTACACCGTGTCTAAACCCGTACCCTATCCTGTTAAAGTCCCAGTAGTCGTGAAAGAACCTTATCCCGTGGTACTCGAGGATCATCACGGAGGTGGTGGTTTTGGCGGTGGATTTGGCGGTGGATTTGGCGACGGTGGTTACGGTGGTGGACACGAGCTCGAACTCGGTGGCTACGGTCATCACTGAGATCGAGCTGTGATATAGCACTACGCGACCAACAGGGACCTCACAACTTTCCGTGTTTTTCCTTCTTCTTCTCCTATCCCTCCTCCACCACCGCAAACTCTCTTCTTCTTTCTACTTTCGATGAAAACCGCGCACCACCGTCGGAGAGAGAGAGAGAGAGAAAGAGAGAGAAAACCACCGCGTACGTCCCACGAGGAAGATGGAATGCTCTACTCGTAGGTACACGTTAAACTCTAGAGAAAAATTTCGCTCGATAGAAAGAACGAAAATAAATGAGAGTGCCGCCGGGAACGAGAGATTCCCGAGATATTGTATTCGCTGCGCTGAGATTTTACCCGAACGACCTGTATTATATCTTCTTTTTTTTGTAAATGAATAAAATCATATTTTTTTGTATCAAGTTTACTATCGTTACGAAAGCACCCCTCCTTTTGCTCCATCTCTTCAACTTCCACTTCCATTTAATAAGCAATTTATGACAGAGGGAAAAGCATTGCCTTAGCTTGTCTCTGACCGTGCGATTATGAAGAATTGCAAGAGGACTTTCACCCGTTATAGAACATTGCGCTACGTCGACATATAACTCTCTAAGTGTGCCAGTAGCAAAACAACCACTTACGAGCTTATAGTCATTTACCTTTAAGACGATATGCCATAAGAACCTTTCTAGTAAATGTCAAAGTGGGAAAAAAGCACGTTAATCGTATCCATTGAGAAAGACCTCTTTCTCTCTCTTTCTCCCTCTCTTTCTCTTTCTCTTTCTCTTTATTTCTATCGAGGCTCTTGACTTCTCTCACGTACGCCATCGCATTACGTGTACTATGTACTTTGCAACCGAGACGTTGCTCGCGCTGTCGAGATCGTTCGGTAATACGAGCTCCTTTAGTTTCTCAAAGATACGACCAACGGAAAAGATCAAGATGAAAATGCACATGAAAATACTAGTATGTAGACTACTAGTATGGGAAAGCAAGCGTTAAAAGGCGAGATAAGTAGAGAATATAAAGAAAAATGATGAAACAAAGGGAATCAAAAGTTAAACAATAGTCTATTTGTTATCGGTAACTTGGAGTAGCACGATGCATAAAATGCATACAAAGCGAACGTTTAGAAAGGAGTCTTGTGAATCCCGTATGACGTGTTATGGTTACATTGTTAGTTTGCTCTGCTTATGGTTCTTCCGGTAACAACGTTCACGCGTATAAACGAGGAAAAACATCCCATCGTAAAACTTGCCGCACCCAAAAGTCGTTTCCCTCAGTTCTAACAATGAGATGCGTTATTTGCAGCGAAACGAGAAGCTGCCGCGTACATAGTAGAAATTGAAAGTGAACTCGACGTGCGCAAGCGATCTTAAAATCTAGGAAAGTAGGTTCCGGGAATGTAGGACGTCGAAAGTACACCGCTTACATACACATACTACATGCGCGCGGCACTACACTTTAGCAGAAGTGCATCCTTCCTAAACGAATAAGTAACACGTATATAAGTTAAAGTCGAATCCGAGAGAACCTAAAGAAAATAGGAACAAGAACTCCGTTTCTATATTAATAACAGTATGAACTGTTGAAGAGTCGAAAGAGATTTTCAAGGAGTTTAAACTCTACTCATTAATCAGAACTTCACTGGTACTCGTACACTCGGCGAGTGCATGTTTTCTGAATAAATAAATTTTGATTGGAAGTCGGGGCGATTCTCCAAGTAACTTTGTAAAACTTAGAACGGTAATAAATTGTCGAGTGTAAGAGAAACGACACCGTTTCACTTTCAGCTGGATTTAATGAATGCCTCATTAGCGAACCAAAACGCTTTGCATATTATTATATAACATTATATCTATGTATATGTTATATAATATTATACCTAAGAAGGCATGAAATGAAAATCGCGAGAAAGAATAATCGGACGCGTACGTACTTACGACGAACATTCTTGTTCGGAAAGAGCACGTTGACTGACCGCGCTCAATATTGGTTATAAATTAAATTAAATATTAGTTAGAGTTTATCTCGTCGGGACTATCGTTATCTGTCTAGGAACTTATTTTCAAATCAGGAATTTCCTAGGCTTGATCGTTGCTTGTTTACGCGTGAGAAATTATGCAAGAGACGCGGAACGAAATCATAAAATCAAGGTGGTAGCTTTCGAAAAGTAATTTGCTTCGACAGAAGAACGAGTTTCCGATACACAACGTATACCGCTTGTTTAGTTTTTCCCTTTTCGCTATGTAAAAGAATCATACGAGTTGAAATCACGATTGGTATCGAACTCCACGTGGTACGATTAAAACGAAATTCGAAAGGGGAACGGTTAATGATATCTAGGAAATTACTCTATATTTATAGGTATACGTAAACGAACAAAAAAATTCAATTAAGCCACAGAATTTCCTATTAAACGTCGTATATATATTTATACATAACGTTTTGACATACATCTTACAGTTTCCGGTGTTTATTTGCGACCTAAGCGAGATCTTTGTGAAAAGAGATAGATATTTTCTTTAGTTCTTTACGACGATGCTACAAATCGAATGCTTGCCAACGAAATCTCTGACGAAACGAAACGATTCCGTACTGCCCCGCCTTGCGGAAGAAAGATTCAATTGTTTACATATCCACACACTTTTTAAATAGATTACAGTCAGTGAAAAATCAATCGATGTGAAATCGTTTCGCATCACCATAACCAGATAAACGGACACTCTCTGCAATTTCTTTTAAAATTTATGGACGGCGATTTATTTAAGGATACATATACTATCGAAGAGTTTTTTAAACTAACGTTCAACGTAGATACGTGTTTATAAATATGCAAAATTGTTTAAACAGAGCGATGCCAGATATGCACCTGTTCTGACAAACGTTAAATATAAACTTTAAGCACAAACGTTAAGCACCCTAACGCATAATATAATCAGAAACGAGAAAGAGAAAAACAGAAGAAAGAACAAAGGTACGAAATTTTTTATTTGATCGTCGGAAAAAAGAGCTAAGATCTTCAAAGATTGTACTTTTTGTTCTCTCTCTCTCTCTCTCTCTCTCTCTCTCTCTCTCTTTTTTTTTCATGTCTCTTCTTGCTGAATCTAAAAATTTATTATTATTATTATTGCATAGGACGCTATAATAAGATAGTATGTTCATCAAGAAACAGGAAAAAGTTAGAAAGATAGAACACTTCACCCACTCTTCTTCTATGCTGGCCATAATGTATGTCGACAAAGTGCACTTGTTTGCACGAGAAATGACAGTAATATTAGTATTGTAAACACTGCTTCCTCATCCTCTTCCTCATCCTCTTCGAACCTTCACCGTTTACGTTTTACTCATAAGACTGCACACCCTTTAACTGTCGGTCCATACTAGGGAGAGATGTAGGCGGGATATACGAGCATAAAGTCGAGAGATAAAAAGTAAAAATGCAAGGAGGAGACAGCTGGAGAGAACGAACGAAAAGAAAGAAAAAGGGATAAAAGAAAAAGAAAGACGAAAGCAGTTTTGTTACGTGGCGACACGGCAGGTTACAGCAATGCATCAAAAAATAAAATAAACGTTAAACTTCTGCAATTTTTTGTACACGTTATTCAAAAGCATCTTATATCTTTCGTGATTAAAAATTTTAATTTAATAAATAGGATCCTTCAAGTGTAACTGTTCTATATGGAAATTGAAATTTAAATATTCCGACTTATTAATTAAGAAAAAAAAATAAATTTTGAAATGGCGTGAATCATTTAAAATAAGTAAGATATTGGAAAGTGTTAATGTTAACATAGATGCGTACATAAATCAAATATTTCGTCTATTCAGTCCTTGTTGACTTTCTAGTCTAATTTATCAATTGCCCTCTTTCTAAAGGCAACGGGAAGGACCGAGCGCAATCGAAAGTTCTCATGCTAATAACATCACGGAATTGAAGAACTCTTGCAGACGGTGCCGTAATACCTGAACGGTACACGTTCGAATACGTAGCCTTACGGAACAGTAACTGTGATTACGCGTGGGTACATGTAAATTCTACATACTTCCTCGAATATCATAACTTATTGTTAATAAGATTAATGAATAAGAAATAACAACGCTATGATACACAATTATTTATATATACATATTTACTATAGCTTTTTCGTATTCTTAATGTCTACAAATAATTTTATATATTTTCTTATGATTTATTTAATTACTTAAGAGATATTACCTCTTGCAATAGTATGTTTTAAATAATGCACTCGAAAAGCTTACTTTGTCAGCTAATACTTTTAAAACGGCTTGATTAGTGTAATCTTCAATCTTCCTATCCTTCCTTCTTCCTTCCTAAAAGAAAACATTAGACGTAGTGATTCTATTTTCAAAGAGCACTGAATACACGCGAATAAAAACCGGTCGAGTAAATAAATAAACTCGTATGACGCCGACAACTTTCCTTCGTATACGATTACATACGTCCGTACACACGTCTTTTTGCCAAGAATGGAAAGTTGTAGATAGGAAGAACGTATGGAATATGTGTGTACGATTATTAATAAATATAGTCGAAAGATATTTCTGATTAAATAAGAAAAAGAAAATTCAAACATGTTTTAATTCGTATTTTCTATTTACTTTTTCTTCTTCCTCTTTCAGCTTTTTATCCTTGCATTCACTGATATATTATGAACCCTTGCACATCGATTTAAAACTTGAAAAAGTATTCTGCACGTAGACAAAAGAGTGTACTTTAATTTAATATAAGATTCAGTAAAATCTATTTACTGTGAGTATATAAAATATTGACAAGAACGTTCCCAAAATATGAAAGCTATGTGTGAAAGATTAATTTTTTGCAGCACTTCTTTTTATGGGATTCTAAGTATTTAAAACGCGAAACACACAGCTAAAAAATATATTGTACGTGTAGGGCAAAGAGTGTACTATCATTTAAAATCATTTTTATTAAAATTTGATAACT